TCATTAAATGTCATTTTAGTACAATTAAGACGCACAGGTCCCTTCCCCTGTCCCCGTCACTGATTTTTAAGGCCGGTGGCACTCGGCTCCTCACAGGCACGAGCAGCTCCGGCTGCTCCTTCCCACCTCCGACCTCTCCACAAACCGAGCCCGAATCTCTCCCCTCATTTTAAACCCATCCCGGGACATCCGCAGCCGATCCGGGGCTGCGGCAATTGCGATAATGAATTGCGATAGCGATTGCGAGCAAGAAGGGCGATAATGAGCGGCGATAATGAATTGCGGTAATGAATTATTTACAGAGCAGCGACCGGAGCCGTTCCCAAGGGCCGTGGGGAGGATAAACACGGCGGGGAGGAGCCGAGCTGAGCGGAAATGCCGCAATTTCAGCGGCAAAACAAACAGGATCCTGCCCGGGTGGCACTACAGGACATGGGGAAGCACCACGCGAGCCGCTGCTGTGGTAAAGATGAAAAAAAGAGCGTTTATTTTCTAAAAAGAGCGTTTATTTTCTGACTCCAGCATTTATACTTTCCCAAAGGTGACAGTGGGTTGGAGGGTGAATTGTTTACCTGGGGTGATGCTTGGTTGGATTCTGGTGAGGATTGTTTGAGCCTGGTGGCCAATCCAATCCAACCCAATCCAATCCAACCCAACCCAATCCAACCCAACCCAATCCAATCCAACCCAACCCAATCCAACCCAACCCAATCCAATCCAATCCAATCCAATCCAATCCAATCCAACCCAACCCAACCCAACCCAATCCAATCCAATCCAATCCAATCCAATCCAATCCAATCCAATCCAACCCAATCCAACCCAACCCAATCCAATCCAATCCAATCCAATCCAATCCAACCCAACCAACCCAACCCAATCCAATCCAATCCAACCCAACCAATCCAATCCGATCCAATCCAATCCAATCCAATCCAATCCAATCCAATCCAATCCAATCCAATCCAATCCAATCCAATCCAACCCAACCCAATCCAATCCAACCCAATCCAATCCAACCCAACCAATCCAATCCGATCCAATCCAATCCAACCCAATCCAATCCAACCCAACCCGCCTGGGGCTGGACTCTCAGAGAGGGTCATGAGTTGTGTTAGAGTTAGACAAAGTAATATATAGTTTAAGTATCTTCCATTTTATATAGTGTATTGATGTATTTTAGCATAGTTATAATAAAGAAATCATTCAGCCTTCTGAATTGAGTCAAACATCGTCATTTCTGCCCATTGGGTTCGCCTGTATTTACAATAAAATTCCTCTCCGGGGTTCTGTGCTGGGCTGGGAAGGAGGCTGAGGGATTTTTGTTCCAGAGCGGCTCAGGAAACCTTTCCCATTTTCATGGAAATGCCAAAGGACGCGGAGCCCGCTGGAATGCGCTGATAAAGATCCTCTATTGTGGCAGCAGCCGCGGTTTTCTCCGCTGGGGAAATCCACCGAAATTCCCCTGCCAGCCTCAGACATGGAAATCCCAAACCGGCCTCGTCCCGCGGCCCCAGTGCGTGCCCACTAAAAGCAACCTGAAATCTGTTGGAATTTGTGGTATTGATGGTTCTGAGATTGTAGAAAGGTGTTGTTAGCTTTGCTGCTAAAGGAGGAGTCATAAATGGTCTGTGTTGATTTTTAAGGTTATTTATTTTTGCTTATTTATAACATGTTCTGCTGCCCTGCCGCAGCTCTGTCCTGCAGGGCAGCGTGTGGGGCTCTGCCCTCAGTGGGATGGTACAAACATTAAATACCACAAACTCCCTGTGCTGGATTTACAATAACGTGCCAATATCTGTCACCTACGTTGGACAGTGTGTCCCCAGCCTGAACCAACAGAAAAATGCCAACCCCACAGTGAAACATGGAGGGCATGAAGAAGGAGAAAAAGGACAAGGCACACCCAATTCCTCCATCTTGTCCCCTTTGGACCCCTCATCTAGAATCCTAAAATTTTACTTTTGCACCTGTGCCACACTTAATTATTCCTTGTATCAAACACTCAGAGCTGGTAATTCATGCTGTAAGATTGAAAACTCTTTTCCATGGACAGAGATCACAGCCAGTGTCTCTGGGGGCTCTGTCCAGGGGGGTTCCTGACCCCTGCCAGGGTCCCAGACCTGCCAGGGCAGCCAGAGGGAAGCTCTGGATTCCTGAAATCCAGCCAGGAATTTGCCTCCACGTCAGGGAAACCTGCTCCGAGCTCAGCTTGGTGCTTGCTCACAGCCTCAGCTCTGTCTGCTTGCAGGCTGTGAAATTCGTATTAATTCATTTATTACACTAAAATAAATCCCACAGCGTTATCCCGGCTCTGAAAATTCCACATCGCGGCCAAAACCTGTGGCTCTGCCTCGGGATTGGGTGGCCACAGGCTCTGCTTGTGGCCTGGGAAAGGAATAAACATCATGAAAGGGAATTTTCTTGCAGCAGGGAGACCTCCCACAGGGAAAGGGACAGTCATTAAAATGCCAGAGATGACAAAAATTTAATGCTCGTC